ATCTTGATGATTTGCGCTAATTGGATATGACGAATGGATGGCGGAGAGAGGGCGAACAGAGTGCGAAAGGGGGGAGGAAGGAGGGACGTGGGAAAAGGGAATGAATATGATAGGGAAAAGTGCTTCAATTTGTTATAATTTTGACATTATTCATTTAAGATCCTGAAGTCCCTCTTCTATTTGCTATTCAAAAGGTATAATTCACAGAGTATTTTACACAGTGAACAACTTTTGATCTGTTTCGATGGGAACTATGTCTGGCCTTATTCCTCCTCGTTTTATCTTCAAATGGAGGAAGTACAGAGGCGGAAGGAGGGAAGGGGAGAGGGGGAGGAGTGCGGCTGCTAGGAAGGGACTGAGGCGGGAAAAATTTGTCAGATAGAGTTTTGAGAAACGCGTTTCTAAACCAGGAACGTGAAACTTTTTTCAGGTACTTCAGATTTACTGCACTTAGATTAATTCTATAAATTTTACCGCATTTTTTTGTGACAGCTCTTCTTTTTTTGACCAATAGAATTATTGAAACTTGATTTTTAGCAGCCCTAGGATCTTTTTCTTATTCTGCAGGCTTTTTAGAAAGCTTGCAGGTTGTTGAATAACTTGCTAAGCTTTTGAGATTGCATCGTAAAACTTCTATGAAGGTAAACTTTTCGAGGTTTTTTATTACTGAGAAAACTGTTTCTGAATGCGTCAAAGTTCGAAGGACCTGTAATTTCTCAGCTCATATTTGCTTTTTTTTGCCTCATCACATGGAAAAAACTCTTACGTTCTGTGTGCTAGATCAGACTAGGCTAACTGTGAGGAAAAACCTCGGGATGATTGTTTCTGAGGTTAAGCTTTTAGAGGTTCTTTGTTACCGCATTTTGTTTGAGATGAAAGCATTTTTTGTTTTTCAGAATTTTTTTTTGGGAGAAAAGAAAAATGGGCAAAATTTATCATAATCTGAAGAAAGTCTAGGTATCAAAAAAAAGGGGAGGGGGGAAATAAGCTCACGAATATTGCTGATATATAGTTTCTCATAACTCGTGCGTGGTACTTACAATGTCCAACGCAGAATACCTCGTTTCTGATTCTAATGTGTGCCATTCAAAAAAGGCAACATTTGTGAAATGTTTTCTCAGAATGTCCTGAAATCCTGAAAAAATGAATGATTCAGTCGATTACTCATTTCATTTCACCTGGAGTACTTTTCATCCACTCAATCATCAGCTGTTTCATCGTCGCGTTTCTTTCGACCGTAGCAACTTTTCCATTTTTTTTTCGTTTCTGATTCTCATAGGCTTTCTTGTGGATTCATCCATAAAGGAAAAAAAAAAGAAAAAAGTGATCGAAAAAGTGAGGTAAAAGGAAA